GCCTAGTTGGCCTATCTATTTGTGAGAGTGGGGTATTAAGGTCCCCCACTACTATTCTATTAGTGCTTGTATGATTTTTCATGTCCATTAGTATTTGTCTTATATAGTTGGGCTCACTAGTGTTTGCTGCATAGATATTAGATTGTCATCTCTTTCTCTTGGATCGGTTCCCTTTACAAGGATGTAGTGTCCTTCTTTGTCTCCATTAATTCGTGTTGATTTGAAATCCCCCTGATCTGCAAAGACGATAGCTACTCCTGCTTTTTTCTGGTTGGTGTCACATGGAGTATCATTTTCCACCCTTTAACTTTCATTCTATGAGTTTCTTTTTGGATTAAGTGTGTTTCTTGTATGCAGCATATTGTTAGATCTTGCTTCTTGACCCATTCTGCCAGTCTATTTCTTTTGATTCGTAAACTGAGACCATTAACATTGATGGTTACAATTGATATGTATTGACTTATCCTTGTCATGACTTTTCCTTTTTGTTGGATTCTCCTGCTTTGGGTTTAATTTATTGTCCTTCACGATGGATTTATTTTGAAGGCCATCCTTGGATTGTGATCCTCATAGTCTTTTCCTAGGATATTTTAAAAAAAATTTTTTGGAGTGCTAATTTGGTATTCGTGAAGTTCCTAAGGTGCTATTTGTCATGAAAGTATCTTATTTCTCCATCGATTTTGAAAGATATTTTTGTATGGTACATCACACTGGGTTGGAGGTTGTTTTCCTTTAGGGCTTGAAATATGTCACTCCAAACACTTCTTGCCTTGAGGGTTTGTGTTGAGAAGTCTGCTGTGATTCTGATGGGCTTTCCATTGTATGTGATTTGCTTCTTTTCTCTAACTGCTTGTAGAATTTTGTTCTTCTGTTGGGTTTCTGGAATCGTGACTATTATATGCCTATGTGTAGATTTTATTTTGATCATGGCTAGTTGGAGTCCTATATGCCTCACTTATCTCTATGTCAAGTTCTTTTCCCCTATTTGGTAAGTTTTCTGCCATTACTTCTCTGAACAGTTTTTTTAATCTCATCTGCACTCTCTCCTGTCTCTTTCTTGACTTCAGTCACTCTGCAGTTACTCTTCTTTGCATCATCTAACAGCTGCTGGATTAATTTCTCATGATCCCTTACTGTTTTTCAGAATTTTTTCTTTTCCTGGTCACTAATTGCAATCCTATCTTCTATGTATGAAGTTCTATCCTTGGATTGTCTCATTCTGCTCTGTAAACTTTCAATAGGTTTTTAATCTTCTGGAAATCTGTTTGCACCTGTTTTATGGATTCCATTTGTTTCCTGTGTTGGGATTCCATCATATTCCACAGCTCCTCTATTTTTTTTATTCTGTGTCCATTCTAGATTTATTAATCATGTGTTATAATATGGGCACAGCCACTGCTGTTATCTGAGAAATTATTTCTGATTCCATTTTTTCCACGTCCCCTCTTGTTACCAGTTCAGTGAGTCCAGGTGGTTGAGTATCAGAGTGTTCCATCTCGTTGCCCTTTGGGGTTCCCTTAGATGATCATGAAGTCTGGTTTGGGGGCTTATTTATATGTCTTCTATTTCAACAGATGCAGTCTGCTGTGTCTTTGTTGAGGTGAATTTTTGCTCACCCAGTGGTCTTGAATTCTCAGTAATCCACCAAACAGCCTTTACTCTGCTGCTCACCAGTACATCAATTCCTGGATTCAGAGTGGGGGGGGGGGTTTCTAGATCTGTGAGTTGATCTGTTGTCTGTGTGGGCTTCTGGCTGGGGCCTGAGCACACTTGGGATGATACGTAGGCATGCCTCTCACTGGGGCCCCTATGTAGCTATTGTCTGGGAGGGCCTTTGGCTGGGGGTGTGACTCTAGTTTCTGTTGTTTGCACAGGCTTTGTCTAGGGTCTTCTCACACTTATCAATTGTATAGGGGCTGGCCTCTGGGTATTGCTTGTGTGCCTACACAGTTCTTTCCCAGGCGGGTCCCTGGCTGTGGCCTATGATATGGTGAGCCTCTGGCTGAAGCCTGTGTGCCCCTGCATCCCCTTTCTGGGCAGGCATTTTGCTTAGGCAGGTGTGCTCGAGACTGTGGGGTCAGGCCAGAGCCCCAGCTGGGATCAGACTGGAGCCACACTGGTCCTGACCACACAGCTGCTCCCCGGGATCTGCATGCACTCCCCATGTGGAGAATTGTTACATGAAAATAACACATCTTAATTCTTTTTTAATGACCCCTCCAGTCTCTTGAATCTATTCCTATATGAAAAACATATGTCTCCTTACTTCCTATTATTTGTCTTTAATTTGGTGTTTATGTATTTTGAGATTCCTCAAATATGTTTTTAAAATGTATTAACCCCTGTTCGCAGTATATTGTACTTAGTGCCACTTTAGAAAATATGTGTACATACTTATATCTTAACTTTTTTTCTTCCCCTTCCCCACCCTTTCTTCCTCCATATTTGGTTGCAGACAAAAACACCATCACACACACTTGTCTACATCTCTTTCTATATAAAATGGATTGGAAATAATCCCAAGACTCTGCTTCAATCACAGTGAAATGAAACATAAAACCAATAATAGAAAAGAATATGAAACCAAGGGGAAAATTCAGTAAACACAATATTGTGTGTGGGAAGAGATCAAAACTTCCTGGCCTTTACCTTTGTTGACTAAGGAGGATGTAGAGCAGGATCAAATTACAATATCTATATTAAAAATGGAACATTTCTTCCATTTCTACACCGAAAACCTCTTGATAAATAATGCAAAATGGAAAAAATAAATAAAAGACTGGACTCAAATGGACTCATGAAGAAACAAAAACATTGAAATAATTTTTCAATTTTCTATGTCCTTTACAATTAGCATCATAAAGGAATGCTAAATAATTCGTATTACTGCTCTAATTGTCCCTGAATTATCTAGAGGGCTGCATTAGATGTGGTTCTCCAGAGAAGCAGACATAAACAAGACATGTAGCTACAGCACATGGAAAGAGACATTTCCTCAGGAATTGGCTCACAGAAACATGGAGGCTGGAACGGCCCAGCTCTGCAGTGTGGGCTGCAGGTGGACATCAGGGAGCTGGACATGCAGGCGCAGTTGGAGGCTGTCTGCTGGAGAATCCCTGCTGGTAGGTGATACTGGTGATTTGTTCTGTGCAGTCTCCCCGGATTAATGAACATCACTCACGTGATGGAGGGGAACCTGCATTTCAGAGTTCACTGACTTAAGTGTTAATCAAATCATAAAAACCCAGCAGGGTAACATATAAACCTCACAGAGCACCAACAGGCTGACTGACAAACACCAGTAACACAGCCCATCCTCTAACTTTTTAGCACAGCCCTACTATCTGGTACATACAATGATGTAGGCTTAGTCTGGTGCCTCTGCTAATGGACTTGAAGGGTTTAAAATTTCAACCAATGCCTTAATTTTGAATTAACAACCTCCTGCTCCAAACCGCAAACTCCCAAGGCGGAATCCGGGGTTCAAAAGAAGAATTCCCCAGAACAAGAATTTGAAAAGGTTTCCCTTGGTAAAAGAACCAAACGGGGGGGAAACTAAGTGGTTTGGTGGTGGTCGTGCAAGTGGTTGGCCGGTTGAAAAAAAAGGGCAAGGAAGTCAAGCCGGCCCAAGTTTAAAGAAGGAACCCAAGCCCCCCGCCTCAACCCCCCCAAGGGTGAAAAGAAAAAACGGAAACAACAAGCCCAAACGGGACCCAAAATTGTTTTTGTACTGGGGATTGAACACAGGACTTTGCTCTTGAGAAGCAGATAGTGGCACCACTGGGATAAATTCCTGGCCCTAGATCTCACATTTTTAAAAATGCAAAGTATGTAGAAATTTGTTTGCAAATTTAGAATCCTACATGAACATTTTCATCAGAATTAGAAAAAAACAATTCACTTACATTGCCAAACAATATTTGATTTATTCTATCTTACTTTTCAAGACAAGGACTAGGAGGTTGGACACAGAACATGGTCACATTTGTAATGTTCTCTGGGGCCATCCAATGGTCAGTGCCAGGAGGAGCTACAGTGGGTGTGCAGAGAGGGAGCCTACTCACCTCAGAACATTCAACATCCCTGAGAGGCCTGTGGGTATGGGACCAGGTACAAAGTCTCATATGCCCTTGACCTGTGAGGATTTCCCTACATCTGTCTCACATCTCCATCTCTATCGGTGTAAGGTGAACTGGGACCTTGGAGGTGATATTCCAAGCATTGGATTTAGCTTGCAGAGTTCAAAACTCAATTCATTACGAAAACATGAGTCTTCAGGGGCAGGGTTGTGAGAGGGAGGGGCAGAACATCTCTAGTCCATAAAGAGTCCCAGCATTTCCAGGCAGCAGTAGAGAGCCCTGATTTTAAATAGCCAAGAATGGGCCAAGATGAGATACATGAAATCCAAGAACCTTCCCCAAATCAGAATACTGTGAGGACCTAGGAAGCAAGATCTAGAGGTTGTCTGTGAAGACCACACACTAGGTAAAAAAGTAAATTTAGAAAAAGCAGTCATGGAGAAGTGGACAGATGTTACACCAAGAAAAAGAAAGAAAGCTTAGTCAGATTCTAAAACATTTTTCTCCATCTCCAACAAGAAATACACAAATACACACTTCTCTGCCCCACTACAAACCCTTCCCTGGAAAAGACAGGCATTAGAAAATGCAGTCAGCACATCAGAACCTGTCCAGAACATGGACACTTTGAGGTTAAAGATTCCCACATAAACTTCTCTCACATTCAACAGAATCCTTGCCCTAATTCAATTTTACTTTGTGTGAAAGTATGAATACCACAGAAAATACAGACAAGTATCTCTGGGCTGTTCCTGCCCCCAGTGCAACTGATCATCATAAGAAAAACACTTTCCCTAGGAAGGACTAGAGTACCCTGCCCTCTGTGCCCCTCTTATACACTCAGGGCCTCCCCCATGCAAAGCAGCCCCCAGGCTCAGGATGAAAATCCAGCCCTGGCTGAGCAGCCCCAGTCTCCTCTCACAGGAGCTTCACTGAGCATGGAGTCCTTGGTGCTGCTCCTCTGCCTGGTGGCAGCTCCCTGCTGTGAGTGTCTCTGAGTTTCAGGAGAGGGACTTGGGAACTGGGTGGCTGGTGTGTTTGACTGTTTGTGATGCTTCTTGTTCACAGGTGTCCTATCCCAGGTGCAGCTCCAGGAGTCAGGACCTGGCCTGGTGAAGCCTTCAGAGACCCTGTCCCTTATCTGCACAGTCTCTGGATTCTCTCTAACTAGTTATAATGTACACTGGGTTCGTCAGGCTCCAGGGAAGGGACTGGAGTGGATTGGTGTGATATGGAGTGGTGGAAGCACAAATTATAACTCAGCCCTTCAGTCTCGAGTGAGCATCAGCAGGGACACTTCCAAGAGCCAAGTTTCACTAACGTTGAGCAGCCTGAGATCTGAGGACACAGCCGTGTATTACTGTGCAAGAGACACAGTGAGGGAAAATCAGTGTGAGCCCAGACAGAAAACTCCCTACAGGGGTGCCCAGGACAACAGGGGGCAGGCAGAACACATGGAGCTCTTGTCAGGCCCAGGACCAGGTGCAGGTTCCTGGGGCTGCTTTGCTGTTACAGTTTGTGGTTTTCTCTTTCTGTCCCCAACTTTGCAAAAGACTCTCTAGTGTTGGCTTTTATACACTTTGTTTTCTTTTTACATTTAATTTTTTTATTAGTACCAGCTTGGAGTACAGCAAGTTTGCAATCATCTTGGGGAGTGGGTACATGTATGTAATACAGCTTGATTCTCTGTTTAATGCCCTTCCTCTTCTCTTCTGCCTCTCTTCCCTTTTCTGACCCTTATTTCCCTATTTTCATTTATGTTGATATCACTGATCTTATCTCATTTTTAAAATATACGATGTTTACAATCCTTTAGATTATTAGGTTCAGGGACATGGCATATCTATATTCTACTTACTCTCTCTTCCCTCTCCCTCTGTTCTCATCCATGTTCTCTTTGACTCCTTACCATTTGCAAGTGATCTTTCCCTTTGTCTCCTTCTAGCCATCCTTTATGTGTTCTTTATTTACACATTTCCTTAATCAAAAGAGAAGTACTACATGGTATTTAAACTTGTGTGTCTAATTTATTTTATTCAATGTTATATTTCCCAGGGGCATCCATTTTTCCACACATGTCTCAAATCTGTCTTTCTTTATGGTGAGTAGCCTTCCATGAAGCATATATACCAAATCCATCATCTGTTGAAGGATGTATAGGATTAAGCTATTAGGATTGCATAAGATTAAGCTATTCAGGATTAAGCTATTAGGAATTATGCTGCTATAAACATTATATATGCACATATCTCTGTTGGATGATGCCATTATCTCTTTGGGGAAAATAACTGTAAGGATGATAGCTGGATCAGATGGAATTTCTGACTTTAGCTCTTTGAGGAATTTCCGTAGTGAGTTTCCTAGTGGTTGTACAAGTTTATATTCCCACCAACAATGTAAGCTTGTCCCTTTTTGACTGCAGTGATGCCAGAATTTATTATTGTTAGAGTTCTTGATGATTGCCATTCTTCAAGTGTAAGATGGAATCTTAGCACTGTTTTACTTTCCTTTTCTCTAAAGCCTAGAAATGTGCAACATTTTTTATATATTTGTTGGTCCTTGTATTTCTTCCTCTGAGAAGTGCCTGTACATTTTTTTTAGTCCTTTTCTTGGTACATTTTAGGTATACAATTTGTTTACATTTATCATTGGGTGTGTGTACCTGTACATGATATATCTTGGTTATTTTTTCCCCATTACCTGTGCACCCTTCCTGTACATTTTTTGATTGGTTCTTTTATTTTAGGTTATCTAATATTTTTGAATTCTTCATATATTCCAGATAATATTCCTCCGTCTGAGGAATATCTTGAAAAATATTTTTCCATTCTGTATGTTATCTTTTCACTCTGTTAATTGATTTCTTCACTGTGTGGAAGATTTTTAATTTGATGTAATGTCTGTTGTTGATTCTTGATGTTATTTACCATACAATTATCATCATTCTCTTTAGGAAATTTCTCGAATACTTATGACTAATTGTTTTACTTATTTTATCTTGAAATATGCTCAATATTTCTCTTTTAATATTTAATTGATTCATTTTGATATAAGTTTAGTGTACTGTTACAAATATGGGTCTAGTTTAAATCTTCAGGCAAACAGACATCCACTTTTTGCAGTGTCATATCTGAATAGGCTAACTTTCCTCCAATGTATGCTTTTGGCACTTTTGTCAAAAATCAAAGGATGTTCAAAAGTCTGAGGATGTTTCAGCATCCTCTATTCTGTTCCATTGATCCATGTATTTTTTCCCGGTATCAAATTCTTTTTATTACTGTTAATTTGTAGAATATCTTGAGAGTCAGGTAATGTGAGGTCTCCTGCTTTACTCTTGTCACTAAAAATTGCTTTTGCTATTCACTTCGGGTCCCAAATGAATATTAGGATTATTTTCCCTAGATCTGTGAGATATGGTATTGAGATATTGATTGGGACTGCATTGAATCTGTGTTACAGTTTTTGGAGTAAGGCCATTTTTTGTAGTGTTGGTTCCCCCCATGTAGGAGCGGGGAACATTTTTCCATTTTCTGATATGTTCTTCAATCTCTGTTTCAGATTAGTGTAGCTTTCTTAGAGAGGTCTTTCA